GATGACGATGATGACTCTGATGATGAGGATCCAGATGCGACCGAGGAGTCAGAGGAGGACGCTTGAGCTTTGGGACGCTAACTTCGCTCTTTTCCTTTTTGGTGTCTTGATGCCAAAGGGGGGAGGGTTCTATAGGTCTCGGGGATTTGCATGGGTTTTTCTTTTTCTCGTTTTTTCGTGTTGGTCTTTGTTCGTGGACTTGTTTCGTTCCTTGCTGTGTGTGAGACTTGTTACTCCTGTTACCTTTCCGTTCATTGGTCATTATCGTTATTATTGCACTCTAAGTATTATATTGTCTCTCTTTTTTATGCTCAGAGTGGTGAGTCTATAAAATCTAGGGGGGAGTCTAGTCTTGAAAGTGTGCCCATGCTTTTTAACAGCTAGTTCCTATTGGGGCACATATTCAGGGGGAGTTCTGTCTAGATTTCATTGACTTATCTCTTGCAAATCGTGTTGTTGTCATCATCCACCAAAAAGGAGGAGACTGAAAGGGCATTTCCCTACTTTATGTTTTGGATGATAATGACAACCCTTTGTTGGTCTAATCGTGTGCTATATGTTTCAGGTTCTCGATGCTTAGGCTTACATCGGATTGCTATTGCCTCTCATAGGAAAAGATCGAAGACGTGTCCTCTACGCTTTTATTTTCTTTGGTCGTAGAGTACCCGTACTATCAAGAGGGAATCCTCATTAGGAAGCTCTGGGAGAATCTTTTCACGTACACTTTCCTCACCACTCATTTGTCTTCCTTAGTTGTGAGAGAGAGTGTTCCCCCTATCTTTCCTTCTGTTTTCTGCTCTTCCCAGCGGTTGTACCGTTGGACCTTGTCGCTCTCCAGCTTTTACCGAGCGGTTGTACCGCTGCCTCCGGGCGGTGGTACCGCCACCTTGCTCAACAAAGGCTAGGGCGGTGGTTCCGGCCATGCACCGCTCAAGTACCGCTCAAAGTTCTGTTTTGATGCGGTTCTCTGGCGGTGGTGGCCCGGTTGATCCGGTCGATCCTCGTTGACCGGTACCACCGGTGGTCTGAGCGGTTCTTCTGCTCAGAACTTCGCCGTCCAAGAGCTCAAGGCCATGTGGTTGTTCCGGTCTTGCACCGCTCAAGTACCGGTCGCGTCTTTGTTCTGAGGCGGTAGTTGTGCGGTGGCTGTGCGGTTGGTCCGGTCATTTTTCTTAACTGGTACTACCGCCCAGTGGCCCGGTTGTACCGCCTGGTAGGGTTCTGCAGCTACACCGTGAGTCCCGGTTGTACTGGGACAAGGACCGGTTGTACCGCTGCGGGGCTGAAAACGCAGCAACGGCTGGATTTTTAGGGTTGCTATATAAGAGTGTTTCTCCCACCTACCACTCTCACCTTTGACCTCTCTCACTCCACCATTAATTCACTTCAAGCTCTCTTGCCTGATCTCTCTCTCTAGCCACTCAAACTTGTTGATTTGCTAGGGATTGAAGGAGGAGACCTAGATCTACACTTCCACCAAAGGATATTTGCTTCCCCCATACTTTCTTGTGTGGATTTTGTTACTCTTGGGTGTTTGAGCACCCTAGACGGTTGAGGTCACCTCGGAGCCATATTCCATTATGGTGAAGTTTCGTGGTTTTGTTGGGAGCCTCCAATTAAGTTGTGGAGAGAGCCCCAACCGTGTTTGTAAAGGTTCGGTCGCCACCTTAAAGGGCACCAATAGTGGAATCACGGCATCTCGCATTGTGTGAGGGCGTGAGGAGAATACGGTGGCCCTAGTGGCTTCTTGGGGAGCATTGTGCCTCCACACCGCTCCAATGGAGACGTACTTCCTCTCAAAGGGAAGGAACTTCGGCAACACATCCCCGTCTCCACCGTCTCCACTCTTGGTTATCTCGTGCCTTTACTTGTGTAAGCTTATTTGTATCATATCACTTGCTTGTTTGTGTTCCTATCCTTGTTGCATCATATAGGTTTCTCACCTAGTTGCATATCTAGACAACCTACTTTGATGCAAAGTTTAAATTGTTAAAGAAAAGCTAAAAATTGTTAGTTGCCTATTCACCCCCCCCCCCGCTAGTCAACCATATCGATCCTGTCACGCTTGCTGCAGCTCCACCTCATACCTTTTACCCTTCCTTTAAGTTTAAATAGTCTTGATCGCGAGGGTGTGAGATTGCTGAGTCCCCGTGACTCACAGATACTTCCAAAACCAGCTTGCAGGTGCCGTTGAATCATGCAAGTGACGCAACCAAGCTCAAGGAGGAGCTCGATGAAGATCTTGTCCTTTGTGTTGTTCCGTTTCTAGTTGATCAGTAGTGGAGCCCAGTTGGGACGATCGGAGATCTGTGTAGCATTTGGGGTAGTCTTCTTTTATTTTGGTTCCGTTGTCGGACCTTGTGTGTATCTGGATGATGTAATGTTATATTCATGGGTTGTGTGAAGATTACCTCACTTGCGACATTGCTTTCAATGCGGTTATGCCTCTAAGTCGTGCTTCGACACGTGGGAGATATAGCCGCATCGAGGGCGTTACATATCCCCAACACTCTTTCTTGTCAATGATGTGTTTTTCCCTTAACTCGATGTGTTTCCTCGATTATATTTCATTTTTCCTTCGCCAAACGATGAGCCTAAAGCGAAGACATGAAAAGAAAATTATATGATGCTCCCATTTTCCCAAGCTTTTGCTATTTTACATATAAATTACTAGTACGGCAATAGCTATATACCCGTTTGATTATTGTCAGTTGTGGAGCGTCGGGCCTGTTGCCCCATTCGCCTTCCTTGCATCTCATCCATGTACATCCGTGTTCCCTTGTCTTGATGAGGCCCGAGTATTTGGTTGCAAAGAGAACTTATTATATGACAATGCCCGCACATTTCTTTATACTCAACTCCAGTTGTGGTGCACGGCCATTGGTTCTGGATAATCATCTGAACATTGGCTAGGTGCGTCATCGAAATCATGCTCATCGTCATCATCATCATGTCCAATCAAATCATCATTTGGGTCTGTATCATCCTGATCATAAGGGCTATAGGCAGTACTTGTTGGAAAATCATTTCTTGCATTACCATGACTACAAGATGGAACATGTGACATGTCAAAATCACGAGCACATGTACTATAATCCAGAGATGCACCAGACGGGGTTTGTTGCAATGATGAACACATTGCACTTCCGTGTACCTTTTTCCTTCCCTTTCAATTCTAGGTATGTTGCTTCCACCGTTGAGTTGGCTCAATGTACCTCGATTTGGTGTGAACTTAACATATAACTCTATCGCTTGCCATGTTGCTTGGGACCTAGTCTTCTTAAAAATCATGTTCCATCCTCTTTCCTCATATACTGAAATTAATTGAAAATCATGTTCCATGTTGCTCGGGACCTGGATATTCATGTTCTATCACTGCTATTTCCATGTCTAAGTCCTTGACATAGATTCTTGATATCTTGAAAAGTTGTTTCCTCATATGCTGGAAATGTGACTTTGGGAGGAACATTATACTCCACATTCATGGATCCATGTTGCACTTCACCATCAACATACGTTAGAACAATTAAGATGTTCTCGGATTCACCTGCAGACATGAACATGTAGAAAGTAAAGATTAAAATATTAAATTGATTTACTATCGACTCAAGGTTGCATTTTTCACGACCTATCAGTTCTCATAAACTAGACAATTACCAATTATATTACCAGGAATAAAAATCCAATCATCTATACATTGTACGCAGTACACTTGCAACCATGGAACGAATTATACAAAAAAAACTTGATAGAGGAGATGCAATATGGCGTACAACTCACATGCGCCAACTACAGGTCAAGTGGACGATCCTAAATTCCTAATGATGAGCGGCCGGTGAGACAACACGACTCCCATGATGATTGTTGATGTTGGCCGCTGGAGCTTGCTTACGAGACCGCGAGATCAAGAGCGACGGCTGCATGCGTATTAGGGTTTGCATATCAGAAACTGTTACGTATATCAGAGAAACGAAAAAAAGACTCGGTTGAGCCTAATAAGTGAAACCACATAGCTAGATGTCGTGTATAAGAGCGTCTATAAAAGGACACACTTAGCAATGGCGTCCAGGTTTGGACGCTCCTCTTCATAGCGTCCTTACTATTTTGACATTTTCCACCGGCCCTTTACCACTTCCGTAATTACAGAGTTCTTATTTATTATTAATAAAAAGATCAGGATGTTTTATCTATAAAGTTAGCACAGTGGCCCTCCTAAATGCGAGGGCATCCTACCTCTTCGCTGCATAACACATGATAATTTAGACACTGATACATTTCTATATGTGTATATAGACATCTGTATTACCTATTATTTTCATATATCTTTTGTGGATATTATTTCCATATTTCTAATCTTATATACGTATATACAAAGAGACATACATTGCTTGAAGTCACTGAAATGTATTGATTTTTAATAATTGTAACTATCTTCTTTTTGTTGATAAAAGAAATACAATCAACCCTAGAGAATCCAATAAAAGAGCATGATGTGTTCAACCATCTTGAAATTAGTAAAGTTGCAGTTAATTATTAGAGTTGTGATTGCCGATGGATTTTTTCAATATCTTGAAAGCAAAATCCACGGGGTCAAACTTTCACTTAATCATTCAATCTTAAAGGCACGATCGGCGGCCACGGCCGTTGAATTAATAACCAGCTCAAGGTCGCGTTATGACGGCCGTGCGCCATATCGATTAACACCCAGTTACAAGGGCATGAGAAAGGTTCTACGGGGACGACAGACAAACATGCACAATGTGGTGCGGAAAAAACACCAACTAGACAAAAGCTGAAACAACAACCAGATAAGCATAGAACAATCTCACATTGATGAGAAACATAAAACAATCTTTCACACTGATCCACCACTGGTTTGTGCACCCAGATGCTGCATACCGACAGCAACAGCTGGTTTGAGCAAAAAACTTCCTAAAAGATACGGGGTAAGACATCATGCAACTGGTTCAAAATTTCACATTGATCGTAAGGGACTCCATCTAGCGCTTCCCGCCACCACCGCCAAGCTTGGGGGCCTTTCCAGGTTTGGGGGCGTTGCCTCTGCCGGTGGTCTTCTGGGATTTTGTCACCTCCACCTTCTTTGCTCGCTTCTCATCCTTGGTCTTCTTAATCCGCTCCTTGATCTCACTGTTATAGAGCAGTTACCTCTGTAAGTACCTTATATAGATATATTACATTGGATAGAAAAACTAGGTACCAAGACTGCCCAGATGTTGTACGCTTATTAAACATGAACAGAAACACGCAGGTGCATATTACGCGGATGATGTTCAGTTGACAGGTGTGATCTAAAAAAACTAGCCTCTCAAAACTCGAATTAGAGCAAACCTTCTCTAATGCATACCCCCTCCGTCCGAAAAAGCTTGTCCCTCAAATGGATGTATCTATCACCAAGTTAGTGCTGGATACATCCATTTGAGGGACAAGCTTTTTCAGACAGAGGGAGTACATAACTAGGTATTTCTTTCAAATGCTGCATGAGCCATTAGAAGTCAGGCATTAAGTCACCACATAGTTCAATACTAACTGAGCCAGAATATATATAGCTATCCTAGTGTGAGTGTAACATGCAACATAAAAATATGTTTGTTCATACCAAGTTTCTTGTTATAACAAATCACAATATCTAGGAGTCAAAAAGCCATGGAGAAAGTATTACCGCAGAGCTGCTTCCCTGGCTGCATCACGGACCTCCGGCTTCTCAGCTCTCTTCTTCTGGATAACTTCAAGGGAAGCACCTACAATTGACCTGGAATACGGCCTCTTGGTGGTGCGGCGCCTCTTCTTTGAAGCCTCAGCATGAATATCCTGCAACACACCACAAAAAATTATAAGCCCGTTAAAACACAAGTAAGCAGAGATGAGAACTGCGCAGACATCCACTTGCAACAGAGCAAAAGGAATGAAAACTACACATGATTAAGCAATATATATCATTTGTGCTGTCAGCAGAGAGCCGACTAACTGACAATGTGGTAACCAAATTATTCTTAGTCCCGGAGCCTGATTAGATATGTCACTTTCTTTTACCGCCACTAGCTACCGGAAAAGAAACTATCAATCAAGGCAAATATTTAAGCAGGTCAGCAGAGCCGACTAACTGACAATGTTGTAACCAAATTATTCTTAGTCCCTGAGCCTGATTAGATATGTCACTTTCTTTTACCGCCACTAGCTACCGGAAAAGAAACTATCAATCAAGGCAAATATTTAAGCAGGCCAATTAACTACCAGGTCATTGCACTTATACTGCCTAATAAGATCACTCTAATAGGACATAGTATTAAGATTATGAAACATATGCTGAACTAGTATATGGAGTATATCTTTCAAGGGAATTGGCTTATCAATATGTACCTTCTTGTGCTGCTTCCTGTACATGGCCGTCCATGCGAGTTTAGCTGGCTTGAGACGGTTGTGGAAGTAGCTCTTGCACTTTGAGTTGGAGAAAAGGAAGACCTGATTTTGGGCACGTGCGAAGAACGTACAGCACAATGTCAGCGAATTTCCACTTGGTTTTCATTCCATGCACAATAACAACAGGGGCGCACAAGCTTACTTGAGAGTCTGAGCGGATGAATCTGATACCCTTCCCTGGGTATATCTTGGCACCGCTGAAACGGCAGAGCTCTGTCCTGTATGAACACAGTAGCAGGAATAAGTAAGATTGTAGCAAGCAGTTTTACAAATCTTTAACATCGCCCAACTTGACATCGCCACACAAAATCAAAGAGTAGCATACTTGAGAACCATCTTCTCCGCCCTGACAAACCTTCAAAGCTCCTCCTACAAATTAAATGCAAGGACATCAGCACCCACAATATCATTCAATACAAGAAAGCATCGGCCCCTAAGGGCATCTACAACGCCAGGCACTAGAGGCAGGCGCTAGGATTGATTTCCAGCCCGTTTAGCGGTTGTGATGTTAAATCTTGGTGTCGACCATAGCATCGATGCAAAAGCGTGCACCGAGCGCTTGGCTTGTTTTGTTCCCGCACAAAGGGCCCCATTGTTTGATTAACGCCTATAAATTAGCGTCCACCGTTGCAAGGTAAGGCGCTTAGGTGCATTTTAAATTTTATGATACTTATTTATTCCTCCGTAAGCTTCAAAGACGAAACCTCGCTGCCTCGTTACATATTACAGCATATCAAAGAGAGTAACAAAACAAACTGAACTACAGTGCATCATTATGAGTTTTAAACAACAGAACTTATATACAGAGCAGGGTACATTGAAAAACTCTCATGAACAAGTGATTTACACAGTTGAGATTTCTAAGGCACAAACCACCGGTTCGACATTTCTCCACACGCAAAAATGTTGGGGCTAATCGCTGGCAGCTAGAACTGATCTTTAACATGACCAAATGATACGCAAACTACTACTACAGGATCTCAACTCTCAAGTAGTTCTTATACAACGGCATGAACCAACCAACAACGCATGTAATGCGCGCATATGACGCAATCTAGCAACAATCGAGAGGCGCCTTGGTGAGTCGACTGGGGAAAAGAGCTCTCTCACCTTGGATTGGAATCGGCGGGCTCCTGCTGCGGCGGCAATGGGGGCGCGCGCGCGCGAGCTGCCGCTCTCCTGCTCTGCCTCCGCCGCCTCCTCTGCTAGGGTTTTCGCCGGGCACCAGCCCTGTTGTTTTATACGGTCCTTGGAGAGGATCCAGGCCGTCCAAGCCCGTATGGGCCGATTGGTGGAGACCTACCTTGCAGTTGGGCCAGGCCAGTTTGATGTCAGAGCTACTGGGCCTCCGTCCACGAAACGGCAAAAACTATAAAAAAAAGCTGCAGGTAAAGCTCGCCTAAAAAAAACTGCTGATAAAGTATTTCTCCTTGCCTTAAAAAAAGGTAAAGAATTTCTAAAATTTTTTACTATAGCTACAGTACATGTGTGTTTGGTTACCTACATCGTTTTTGCCACTTTGCATACTTGTTTTAGTTGGGCCTGGTTGAACATATACAAGAAAAAAAGCATCATCTATATGTTGATTGGTTGTCTGCATCCCATTTCACTGCATCGTAGCAACGCCTCTACGCATTGTGTTTTATTGATCACATTGAATATGTTCATACTGGTGCATGTTGTTTGGTTGCATACACTGGACATGATCAAAAGTTAACAGCTACACATAACACAATGTCACGTTAGAGTGCCTTGGCTACAGCGGTAGGCGGTGGTCGCGGCGCCGCGTCTGACACGAAGACCGCAGAGTTGCGGTCGGGCGAGCGATCCCATCGACGGCGCAGTGAACTAGTTGCCAGCGTCGTTGCCGCAGAGAATGTCCATGTGAAGTAATGAACAGTAGGGAGTTGAACGGAGGATGATGGAGAAAAAATGTAGTGTGTGCGCTGTGGCGGCGTCAGTGTAGTAGGATGTGGAGGAGGAGGCCGAAAAGAACGATGATGGCGACGACACCAGTGTAGTAGGGCGCGAGCGAGGAGGTTGAGAGGAACGGCGTTGACGATGGCTTCAGTGTAGCAGGACATGGGAGAGGAGACCAAAAGGAACGGCGACCGCACAAGTGTAGTAGAACATGGGAGAAGAGGTGACACTAGTGCAACAACATGCAGGAGATGATGACAATGGGGACGGCGCCAGTGTAGTAGGATGCGGGCGAGGCAGCCGAGAGGAATGACGCCGACGATGGTTTCAGTGTAGTAGGATATGGAAGATAATGTAGAGAGAAACGACGATCACATGAGTGTAGTAGGGCATAAGAGAGGAGGTTGAGAGAAACGACATCGGTAATGACACTAGTGCAAAAACACGCGGGAGAAGAGACCGAGAGGAGCGACGCATGTGGTGACACCGGTGTAGCAGTACACGAAAGAGGAGACCGAGATTAAAGAATGTTATTAACACATATCACATGCATGCGTGTATATTTTTCACGAGAAAGAAGTCAAAGTAGAAAATATGCAACATGTAAGTCGTGTGAAATTGTAAGATGAAGCTATTGGTCAAAGAAATTCCCAATGATCCACCGTGCGCGATGAATTTGACAAAATTTATTCAAAATAGCTTCAAACATGAGTTGGAAATTGAACATTTACATTTGACGAAACTACGAACTGATCGTAAAATTGAAACTATCACATTGATGTGCGTCTTTTTTATATAAAGTTTATCTCAAATCGAAGCATTGTTATGTAGATTAGAAGGAACAAAGAAAAATGGATTAGAGAAAAAGTTAAAGCATTACTTTATGTCAGTTCCACTTAGTATGTAGCCGCCTTCTCCCCTAAGAAAAAATACAGAATACTTTTGTCTCCCACCTACGCCATCGTCAGTCCATCTCGTCTCCGGTCGCCTTAGGACCATGGCTGCGTGGAGGATCCCAGCCCTTGCCGACGGGGGGGCTTTGTTTTTATATGTTCCTTCGAATTTTGTTAAGACTTGTGTCTTGTTCAGAAAGACGAGATGACGACGGCTCTCTGAAGATGGAATAAGGTTTTCTCTGCCTAGCCTTGTTTCGATGGTGTGTCTAGAATCGTCGGTGGGCGTGTAGAGGTATGTCTCTGGTGGATCTATTCTTGATGGATTTTCTTGGTGGATCTGGTCGTAGTTCATTTATGTTTGTGTGTCTTTCGGTTGAATCTTTTCAATCTACGCTGCTCTTTATCGATGATAGTGGTTGTTCTACTGTGCTGGTCCTATGGGGCCTTAGCACGACAACTTTTTGTTTGTTTACTATAAAATATTTTGCATGATTTCAACGAGGGAAGGGTGCTAAAGGCGGCGCGTCCTCGTCTTGCTTTCATCGGAAGTTTTCCCCAAACAATTATTAGAGAGAAAGCTTACTGGTGTTAATACAGAAATCAAGTACTCCCTCCGTCCGGAAATACTTATCGGAGAAATAAATGTATCTAGATGTATTTTAATTCTAGATACATTCATTTTCATCCATTTATGCGACATGTAATTTCGGACGGAGGGAGTACATGGTGTACATTAGCTGACATCCTCCCGTGTCCACCATATACCCTCCATTGTGGCTCGATCCAGTCTGGCTCGCTAAAGTCGATTTAAACGGTTTTTTAACGCTTGCGTTTGTACTGTATTAAAAAAAACATTCATCTAGATGCCGAGTCAGAAATGAAAATTTCATGCGGGCCAATTTTGCAACGCACCAGGCGACCAAACGGGCTAAAAATATCATACCGGGCCTGGCTGGGCCTGGCAACCAAACGCAAGTGTTGAATTCTTCAGAGTTTCAGAGCTCCTGACAAAACCCTAAGCCATCGTCGTCGTTCCCGCCGCCGACGAGGAGGGAGGAGGGTTATCCATCAGCCATGGAGGACGTCTGCGAGGGGAAGGACTTCTCCTTCCCGGCGGAGGAGGAGCGCGTGCTCCGCCTCTGGTCCGAGCTCGACGCCTTCCACGAGCAGCTCCGTCGCACGGAGGGCGGCGAGGAGTTCGTCTTCTACGACGGCCCCCCCTTCGCCACAGGGCTCCCGCACTACGGCCACATCCTCGCGGGCACCATCAAGGACGTGGTCACCCGGCACCAGGCGATGCGGGGCCGCCACGTCGCGCGCCGCTTCGGCTGGGACTGCCACGGTGTCAGGAACCAGACAGTGATTCACTGAATTTAAACACCAACTTATCACAATTTCAGGGGGAAAATTAGGACGAACTAGGGTTTATATTGCTTGAGCAAGAGGGGAAAGTAGTTTGCACGCCACAGGCGGCTTGATGGGATCAACCCTATTACAATAACATGTCCAGAAGAGAAGGGAATGGGTGGCTTTATAACCATTACACGCTAACTGAAGGAAAAAGAAACAACAGAAAGGTAAAAGCACTTTTCGGAAAGTGAACAGCGACGTTGGGTTGCCTCAGGATCGTCCGATGGAGGATCAACGGCTATCAGTATTTCAGGCACGCAGGAACAGGGGAAAGCAGAGGACTTGTAGCCTGACACACGGCCTCCCTGTCGAGCACGAGATCGACAAGCTCCTCGAGATCAAGACCCGGCAGGATGTGCTCGACAAGGGCATCGGTGTGTACAACGAGGCCTGCCGCGGCATCGTCACCAAGTATGTCGCCGAGTGGGAGGCCGTCGTCACGCGCGTGGGGAGGTGGATTGTTTTCAAGGCCGGCTACAAGACGATGGACATCAACTTCATGGAGAGCGTCTGGTGGGTCTTCGCGCAGCTCTGGCACAAGGACCTCGTGTACAAGGGCTTCAAGGTCAGATTTCCAATCTTAGTTAAGCTCGCCTGGTTCATATGTTTAGGACTGTGCTTTGCACTTTACAATATATGTCCGGATTCTGAGCCTGCATTGTGAATTTGGACAAGATTTTAAGCTTCAGGGAGACTGACAGCATTGTGTAGTTCAGAACTTCGGGACTAGAACGTGAAGTGAAAATGAAACACCAGTGTTATTGTTCAGTTTGTACTATTACATTGCTATATCTGTTTATGTCTCAGCAAAAAGATTTGGCAATGTCTAGAAATGGTGCTCTAAAAGACTCTTTATTATAGTGCCGAATTCTGAGCTTGCATTGTGAATTTGGACAAGATTAGGCTTCAGGGGGATGGCAACACTGTGTAGTTCAGAACTAGAGTTTTGTATCTGTTCAATTTGTCCTGCATTGCTATATCTGTTATGTCTCAGCGAAAGTATTTGGCAATGTCTAGAAATTATGCTCTAGATGGCTCTTTATACTTAGTTAATTCTGTTGTGACGACATGGAGTTGCACATAGCTGGGACTGCGGGTGCTTTTGGTACCACCAAAGCTGACTAAACCAAAAAAATTGGCTTACCCATGGAATTTGGCAGTTGTTTGGACTGGTGCCAAAAAATTGGCGCGCGTAGCACACCTGCCGCACGCCCAAATCTCGCCAACGCGCTGGCGAGCGTGGGAAAGCTCCGCCAATAAATTGGCAGCGTGACTTTACCACCTGATTCTCAATGGATCCCATGTACTATTCCTTTTCTATAGTTATCCAGTGCATGCTCGGGTGTTTTGATTGTTTGGCCTGTAAACAATTGGGGGTTCTCACCCTGAATAGCAGGTGCATGCAGCATGGTACTAACTCTGCATGAGAAACAGCTTCCGGCTGTAGCAGTTTCATGTTGGGGCAAGTTGGGGCTTAAACCAAACATACCCTGCATCTTAACTGTCATGCACGGAATGTATCGTTAAACATCGTCGGTTGTGGAGACTTATCTTTATCTGTTGCTTCCGTCAAGAGGATCCTTCTTATTATCCTTATCTGTTATTTCTGTCAAGAGGATGTTCCATTTCTTGTGCGGGGTCGGGAGTGCTGATGGGTGTCACATCATGTACCAAATTATGTACTGATTCTGATGTTGCTGCTGCATTGAATTTTTCTCTTGTGTATAGCAAGTCTTATTTGTGTGTGCAGTTGCTTCACACTTGTTTCCATAAGAGAAATAGAATAAGACATGCCAGTGTTCTGTTTATGAGGGATCTCTGCCTGCTCTGTTTATCAGGGATCTCTACCTGTTCTGTTTATGAGGAGACAACCATTGTTCCTTTCTTGTTTAATGTAGTGCAAGGAATCTCCTGAAAGTCAAAATGTTGAATCTTACTTTTGTTCCAGGTGATGCCTTACAGCACAGGCTGCAGGACTGCATTGTCAAACTTTGAGGCCGGGCTGGACTATAGGGTAGGTTATTGGCTTTGTTTTTGTTCTAGCTCATAACCTGTTGCTGAACTTTTTGTTAACTGACTTTGTGATGGTGTCAGACTGTTTCAGATCCAGCAGTCATGGTGTCTTTCCCTATTGCCGGTGATGTGGACAATGCATCTCTTGTCGCATGGACCACAACTCCCTGGACTCTCCCAAGCAATCTAGCATTATGTGTCAATGCCAATCTTGTGTATGCCAAGGTTAGTGCTCCTCTCTTTTCCTGGGTTATCTTCTCATTTTCTAATGCTATAATCTATTATTGAGTCTTTTTCCTGTTACAAGTAGTTTATACTCGAGAACTTGATTTCACAAGGAGCTATACTGAAAATTTAAATGAAGAATACTGAATACCCAGTGAATATATCGATGAATCTGGCAAACTCTGACAATTGTCTAAATTGGCGCGTTCACCCAAAGTAATGCATAATGCAAGCTTATGAGCCCGTCAGTCAGCTTCTTAGTATTATTATGTTTTATTTGGCAAGGACTTCTCAGACATTATGTTGTAGTCTTGTAGTACATGTTAGATTAACAGCTTGGTCCTTATCTTGCTTCTCAGTTGCTACGCCTTTTTCTCTTTCTCTGCGACATTCTGCCTTTACAATGCAGAAGTCTTATTGTCCTCTTGTTAGTTAATATCTCCTGGAACTGATATGAGTTGCTCACCAATAAATTGATTCCCATGTCTGGCTACTTCCACATGTATCATATGAGTGTGGAGAAGCATGCACCATCCTTTAACGGCAATTGCACATTTTCTTTTTGTTTCACATGTATCAGTATGGAGAAGCATGCACTATTTAACCCTTCTTAGTTGACTTGTTGTTTCGACTCATCTCTTTTTGCTATAATAACTTGATCTCCTTGATTGTAAAAGAGTTGCATGTTTGTCATTCTGCTTTCTATTCTGTCCCATATGACCATATCTATAGACCCGACCTCAAGTCAGTGTCAAAAGAAAATTCTATTGCTGACGCCCTTCTCTGTGAACTGTTTCATGCTTCTGTTCGAGGACATGTACTGTATTTCCAGGTTAAGGACAAATCAAATGGAACAGTATACATTGTTGCTGAAAGTAGGCTTGGGCAGTTGCCAGTTAAGGCCAAAGCTTCCGGAAAGAAGCAAGCAACTTCTAAGGGAAGCATGACTGAAGCTGTTCAAGGCGGTTTGGATACTGAATCGTACGAGTTACTGGCAAAGATTCCTGGTTCATCCTTAGTAGGCCTAAAGTGAGTACCCTTCTTTTTCATTAACCTATATTTCTTTTGTAGTCCATGGTCTCAGTTATCCACAACATATGGAAATTACATTCCCATTATCCCTCAGTTTCCCTTAAACCTAGCTGCTTTCTTTTATCTCTTTGTTAACTATGTCTTTCCTTTGTAGAAGAGTATTTATAACCATGTTTTTGTTTGATCAGACTTTACTGTTATATTTTGCTACAGTTAAAATGATCCGCATCACTTGAGTTTTGGATGTTTATGTGTAATGTGTGAAAAACTTCTCCATTTGGAGAGTTTAGTTTGATCGCTAGTCCACCATTTATTTTATGATGGGTGGATATTATATTTTCAGTAATGGTTACTCTTGATTCTCTATTGCTGAGAGTTGTTTGAGCAATTGCAAGAATGTCAGAGCCACTGATATTTGGACCATGTATCTGTTTTTGTTTATATTTTTACTTATACTTAGTTTTCTCTGGTTGCAGGTACACTCCTTTGTTTGATTTTTTCTTGGAGCTTCAGGAGACTGCCTTTAGGGTCATTGCAGATAACTATGTAACTGATGATAGTGGAACCGGTGTGGTCCATTGTGCTCCTGCTTTCGGTGAAGATGACCATCGTGTTTGCCTTGCTGCCGGGATAATTGAGGTTGGAATACCTCATTTTACTATTTGAATATTTTTAGTAGCTATTATGCTGCCTTTTTGTCAAGGCCTAGAACATGTTTTTTCTTTCTCAAACATTTGATGCCATGCAATGGTGTCATCTGACTCACTTATTTTATTTCTCGGTTTATATTTTGATGACGAATACGATCTACTATTCAATTTTATGAGCCTCTTACTCTAGTTATGCCTTTTAACTGGTGTTTTTACTGTGATCACTGTGATGCATCAGAAATTGTGTTCATTTATGCAAGCATGACTATACATTTCTTGTTCTTTTCCTCATGGCTCCTCACTTTCAGGCTAGTGGCCTTGTTGTCGCTGTTGATGATGATGGTTGCTTTATTGACAAGATATCTGAGTTCAGAGGGCGACCTGTTAAAAAGGTTGACAAGGATATCAGCAGTGTTGACAATGATATCATCAGTGCTGTTAAGGCAAGTTCTGTTTCAGTGTTCATTGGCCTGTTAACTTAGAGAACACTTCTATATCTCGTTGCTTGCTCAGGCTATTTAACAACTGCTACCAACTAGTTTTTGAGTTGATAATAACTTGTATGATAAAACAATGCAGTGTATAGATTTTGGTATGTTAATATTTGCTGGGAAAAATCTTAGAAGTTGTCCGTGCATTATGATGCCTTGCCGTGTTGCCTATCCGGGTACATGAACACTGTTAAGCTGTGCCAATGTGTGCTATCTACAATGGTCGTATGCCTTCCTTTCCTTTCTTAACAATATTCTGCTTTGTTATATTCGATTATATCATGGATAATTTGATAACTAAAACCACGACAAGTATTTTGGAACAGAGAGAGTATTTTTTAAGACGGCCACCCCATAAGTTGGATAGTTTTCATTGTCACGAGGAATGCATTTAGAGAATGATAAACTGCATTCACAGGATAAAGGAAGGCTTGTTAGTAAAGGGAGCATTGAACACTCTTATCCATATTGTTGGCGCTCAGAGACTCCTCTCATTTACCGGCCTGTTCCAAGCTGGTAAACATCTTCTGCTATTGCTGTGTGAATATATTCCGTCGATGTGTTGATGCTTGATGTTTTTACGTGCTGCTTGTTTTAATAAGTTAGTACTAATGTGTTGGTCATTCCTAGTTCTAATAAGTACAATTGACACTCCAGTCCATATTATATCTCCTCTTATACAAAACTGACTGCATCATGCTATCGTTCCATACATACATAAGCATAACAAAGATTGCTGTTGAACCTTTTGGGTTCATTTTTGCTGGCTGGGTTCCTGCCTTTTATGTCTAATGCAGTTTTCTTATAGCACTACTTTTTTTGGTTAAGGAACATATTCCTGAAAGAGTCTTTCTGTAGGTTCATTAAGGTTGAAAAGATAAGGGATCAGTTGCTGGAGTGCAACAAGGAGATCTACTGGGTTCCAGATTATGTCAAGGTTTGTATCCCTGATATAATGCTTTCAGGAAAAAAACTTTTAAGGGGGGATAACTCATATGGAGATGCCACTTCTAGCCACCCGATTCTTTTTCAAGGTCCGTGATATCATGATCGGGCATCTATGAGGGGCATCTTCACGAGGGTACCGCCCCATTGAATTGTCTTTGGCCCTTCCAATTACCTAATAACAACTTCATAAATCTAATGAATGGACTGGTAACTAGAAAAACCATAAGACTTTTGTTATATCAGCTTGGCTTTGCCATGAAGGACATATTATTTTGTTATCTCCATTCTGGTTCCCATCTCCTGTTTCCCTAATCGAATTTAATGAAACTTCTTGGATAGTCTAAAGGGCAGACACCAATATGCAGATGAAGAATGATGTTGTAACGTATATTTTACTTATTCCTTTGTTGACAATCAATTCATGCAGGAAAAGAGATTCCATAACTGGCTAGAAGGTGCCAGGGACTGGGCTGTTAGCAGAAGTAGATTCTGGGGTACTCCACTTCCAGTATGGATCAGCCAAGATGGTGAAGAAATTGTAGTTATGAATTCCATTGAAAAACTTGAAAAATTATCTGGTGTCAAGGTTAATATCCTCTGTGCAATATATATTCCATTTTTTAATGTTATCTGCGGTTGATGCATGCATATTCTTGTGATTCTGTGGTATTTTTGTTGAAAAACAGTAGAAATCTTTATATGTTTGTGTTACTAACTGTTGCTTGGGTATTCATTTGTTTTCTGTCTTTTTGGTACACAATGCATATCCATATCAGTGGAAGCTTATTATCGTTAGACATCCTGGTACCAAACCCCGGGGTTATATCTTTTAATTTTTCAAAATTTCTGTGATCAGGTTAGCGATCTTCACCGACATTATGTTGATGATATTACGATTCAGTCTAGCAGAGGACCAGAGTATGGGGTGCTCAAACGGGTTGAAGATGTAAGTTGCTTTTAGACCCACCATTAGGGATCACATTTCTTGTATCTTATGTAAAATTCATGTGGATGTCCCAAGCACATTTTTCAATAACTTCGACTGCATACCTTTCCATCGTGTTTTAATCTATAGCTTCTAATAGAAATTTTTGTTGTGCTCCTTGCTTATGTATAATCAAGAGGTGTAGGAGAACAGAGGATTAGGAATAGGTATCCATGGTGTTCTGTAGGGAATATGTCTGAGGTCATCTATGAAATGCAAATTAATCACTGTGTTGTCTGTAATATGAGTGTAATCCTGCAATTTCGGTCTTAGCAATATATCTGGATTGTGTTTTGAAACAAAATCAATCTATATCAACCAAATCTTTGAGTTACCTTTTAAGGATTGGTGAAGTAATCTCCTTTAAATGTCTGTGAATGACCCTTATGCAGCCCATTTGGTCTTATTGTTGCGTAAATTATCCTGGCAATATATCACCTTCCTTTTGCTCAAGTGATTGTTACTTGCTAGTAGCACAGTTTCCTTTGAGGATTTAATATCAGTAGAAAGTAGGGTGTTACAGATGGCTAAATGTCCTACCAAATTGCCTCATGTTGTAAGCCCTACTTCTGAATGTATAGTTCCGGTCTTATCTGTGTTAAGATTATGTTTGTGAACATCTGACTTGTCAACTGTCATGAAGGTGAATATTTGTAGTGTTCTCTTCATCTTAAAATCTGTTCTCACTCAGCAATTATTGTGGTGTCTTCAGGTTTTCGACTGCTGGTTTGAGAGTGGCTCCATGCCATATGCCTACATTCATTATCCATTTGAGAACCGTGAACTATTTGAGAATAATTTTCCTGGAGACTTCGTGGCAGAGGGCTCGGACCAAACACGTGGATGGTTCGTTATACTTCCTTCAGCATCTTACAGAATTTTTGACAGTGATATTGTTTCTCATTTCTTAAATATGCTCGTACATTCTCATCATCATATTTTAGGTTGTATTGAGCAAAAAATGTACGTAGTTCCGGCTACTTATGATGGTAGCTCCTCATTTAAATTTCCAATGTCATGGTCTTAAGAAACAGTTTGTAGAGACTTCACCCTTCTTTGTTGCTTCATGTGTCCCCTTTCGCAACGCTATAGGCAGTTCAACTGTGACAAATAAGCTTGCATCACTGCCTTGTTACATCCCTGCACTTGTGGCTACCGTCGTGAGTACACGCCGATCCTGAACAGGAACCTGGAGAGTACAATCTGAATAGTACCTACTATTGGCTGGACCTGAGGTTCACATCATCATTCGTGAGAGTACCAACCGGAATTATACCCAATGTTGGCTGGACCTGAACCTGCACATCATCATCAGTCAGGGTACCAACCTGAATTGTACCCACTATTGGCTGGACCTGAGCCTGCACATCATCATCAGTGTTAGTGCCCATAGGATCACCCTGAGTATGAGACACAACCTTCTTCCTCTCTTCACCATTTTCCATAGTGTAGGTGGTCAAGCTCTGCAAACAACAGACTTAGATCTATGACTCAGACTCCCTGAAGGTGACATCCATACTGACCTGTGTTTCTCAGAAGAACACCAACATTTATACCCCTGCTGACTAGAAGAATAGCCCAGAAAAATACACTTCATTGCCCGTGGATCTAGCTTCCCAAAAGATGGTCAGTGATCTTGAACAAAATAGGTACTGCCTAACAACTTTGGGGGAACAACTAACTTAGTTTCTCCAAACAACAACTCGCACGGAGATTTCATGCCTAGTATCCTTGAAGGTGTCTGTTTGATCAGGTATGTGGCTGCTTCACTCCCACAAGAACTTGGGCACATTCATTGTATACATCAATGACCAAGCAACCTCAAGAATATGTCGGTTCTTCCTTTCTGCCACTCCATCTCGAGGGAGGGTGTCTAGACTTGAAGTTTGGTGAAGAATACCTTGGTCAGACAAGAAGGCTCCAAAGGTGTTGTTCACATACTCAGTGCCATTGCCAGTCCTTAAGACCTGCACCTACACTTGAAACTGACACTTCACAAAGGCATGGAAATTTTTGGAAACAACTAAACAACTCGTCCATGTGACGCATCAAATAAATCCATGTCATACGAGAATAGCAGTCGATAAAGGTAACTAAACACTTCATTTCATTCACTGACACCATTGGGCAAGTCCACACATCTGAATGAATAAGCATAATAGGAGATATGCTCATAAGACCGTTACTCACATATGAGGCTCTTGTGTGTTTAGCATATTCTCAAGTATTCACATATTAACTTGCCCTTGCCCTTGCCTATTGCACACATGACATCCAGAAATATTCTACATGCATGCCCTATCCTACAATGATGGTTCATCGCTTGCTTCTCCTTGTCCTCCATAGTCGCAACACACGCCAACATCGCTTGCTTCTACCTCTACCTCTAGGAGTCCTGCCACTTCCTCCGCTGTTATATCCCCTGCCTCTACCACGATTTGGACAGTTCCACTTCAGCTGACCTTTCTCCCCACAAGTAAAACAGTCCCTGGTCTCTCTCCACTCCCTATGTTCAATATCGTCAAACTCAGAGTCGGCACAGCCTTTACGTCTGCCTTCTCAAGAGATAGCCACACGTCCTCCTGAGTTATGGCTGCAATAGCCTCATCAATAGCAGGCAGGAAAGTTTGTTGCAGCAAGGATGCCTTCCTGGCATCAAAATAACCTTTGAGCCCCTCCAAAAGTTTCAGCACATGCCTGCGTGCGATCCACTTTTGACCTAACTCGATGCAAGCTGTGTCATAGAGTTCTAGAGGATCACAGTAATCCTGGTCTGCCCATAGTGCATGCAGCTCTGTCACATATGCCATCACTGACATGTCACCTTGGCACAGCTGACTAATCTTCCAATCAATCTGAGCAATGCGCATGACATTGCCCTTACTTGAGTATTGGGTGGATAGAGTCTTCCATATCTCAGCAGATGTGGATAGGCCCTCGACAGAGCGTCCAATGGAGGGCACCATCGAGTTCAACAACCACCCAATAAGCAAAGAGTTGATGACCTTCTACCTCTTTCCCTCTGCACTAGTTTTGTCTCTTGGTTCTTCAACAATAATACCCAACAAGTACCCACCAAGCTCCTTCTGCTCCACAGCCCGCATTGCCCTCCGAGACCAACTCAGATAGTTGGTAATCCCCTCAAGTTTGCCAGCATTTCTCTCCGAGACCAACTCAGATACTTGGTAACCCCCTCTAGCTTGATGATAGTGGGCGACAACTCGATCTTCTGAACCACTTCCTGTCGAGGAATGATGGCCCGCGAGCCCTCCGTCGTGGAGGTGAGAAATAGGGTGATCTCTCGAGAGCCTCGGTGAGGAATTTTGAATCAACCATCTTGGCTGCTGCTTGGACGTCAGCAACATGTGGTCATTGATGCAACCCCCGACCAGCTGCACCCAGCAGCAAAGTCCCCATCTCCTGGCAAGCAGCTGCACGCAGCAGCTACACTTCCAGCATGCTCGGCAACTGTCGCCCTTCACACAGCAGC